TATTATAAAAAGTCGAGGAGTTCTTTTTACTGCACGTTTTTTGCGGTCTTCCGGGTTGTTACTCTTCACTAAATTGTGCTACTCAGCTTTGACTTCAGAGTTAAACCCATCATTTATCTTCATGAGACAACTAAAAGTATTGACTGAGGCAGATTTTATGTCAAAATCCAGTAATTTTCGGTGAAAACAGATGAACGTTAATTGTTTCTGAATACTTATTTTGTCCAGCTCAATATTTTTATCTCGGTTATTCAGTTAAAGTTGTTACTTAATTACTTTGTTGATCTAACATTCTGAGTGATATCAGCTGCGTTTCTGAAATATTTTTTCCCGCAAATTTTAAGTAACACTTGCCCCTGAAAAATATACTACTATATTCTTCCTTGTAATAAAAATTCATCTCAGTTGATATTGATCAATAAATGTTTATTTGATTGCATTAGATGAAACCTAACGTAAATAACGGACATTATGATCGTAGCCACTCACACAAATTGAGTGTGTTACGTTTAATTTTAATGTGAACTTATGCATTACCAAAAGTCGAGAGTAAGAAGTTGGCTTTTTTTATCCAAAAGACCAAAATTATTCACACACCCCAGTCATTATTGAAAGCCTCGAATAATCTTACATGCTCTTTCTTTATTGCACTACTTTAGAATCTCCGGGGAATGGGTTCCTTAAAAGGCGAGCCGCTGACTCTTAAAAGTCGGGGAGAAACAGTCACTGTCAGTTGGAAGCAAGGTTCATTCGTTGGATTTGGTGGAGACAGGAGTCAAAACTACGTCCTATGTGATTATTCAACCAGCAGGGGTAACAGCGTCCCAGTTTACATCCAGGGCGGATATGACATACCGCAGGAACTGGTCATAGATTCTAGGCTACAGTATGGAACTCAAGACAATGTCCTGTTCTTTGTGTACCATGACAAGAGCCAAACCCCATACCAAGAGCGGTTTAGATGCAATGGCCTTCAGAAGTTTGTCTATGCTGGGAACGATCTTCTAAAGTTGGCCAAAGGAATTGACATTTCCTGGATGGCTGGAAACTATTTAAAGGACGTGTAAAAGCGGGTTCAGCCGCGAACTGTGTGTTTAACACGATGGTCGGTTGCTAGGGCTTTTGCTCCTGTTTGGTTCTTAAATTCAATTTCTGGCTTACAGAGGGGTAGTTTATATTTCAAATGAAGCACAACATTAGAACATCTTAATTGGACAAAAGTTTTCTTTAAATTTTTACAATTGTAAAGGTATTTTTGACTTTTCTTGAAAGTATGACGTCATAAGTGACACCTATTTTTAGTAACAACGTTAAAAATTTGATAAGCAGTGTTCAAAATGCTACAAACATTTTTGTTACAGAAAAACAATATTTACAGTGAACCCCCTTCTCAATCGGATAAAATGGCGTGAAGTTACAGGTAATTAAAGAAATTCAAATTTCCCGCCTCATGACCATATATGGTCAACCTTTAGGGGTATTTTAACGCGAAAACAATGAATGTATTTACAACGGAAAAAAGACAAAGCTGCATAAAATTAAAATTGTAGTTTTTTGAATTCGGCATATGTGGTGCTATGACGCGTATTTCGTCACAAATTACGTCATTATGACGTCAAAATGACGTAATTCGTGACGAAATACGCGTCATAGAGCACACATCCTAAACTCAAAAAACTACAATTTTGTTTTTATGCAAATTTGTCTTTTCTCCGTTGCGACTACCTTCATTGTTTTCGCGTTAAAATACCCCTAAAGTTTGACCATATATGGTCATTTGGCGGGAAATTTGAATTTCTTTAATTAAATGTAACTTTGCGCCTTTTCATCCGATTGAGATGGGGTTTTCACCAGAAATCATAGAATTCTATACAGAAAACTAATGTAAAATTTTTAGCATTTCTTTCCTGAATTTTCTTTCTGATGCCAAATTTGGACATCATTTATGACGTCACAATAGAAGTCACATGGGATGAAATAAACACCAATAAATAGGTAATTTATCAACTTACTTCCTTGCCAAGTTTTGTTACATTCCATGCATTCTACTTCTCTCTATGGCCTTAAACTCTCAGTTTTGAGAGATATGGGAGCAAAAGCCCTAGCAACCGACCACCGTGTAACCCCTGAGAGTCAAGATCTCGATTCTTGGTTGGCTCAGTTGTTATAGCTCTGGTCAAGCTAGGCGAGTACTGCTCAGTGCTTAACGCGTATAAGATACGAGAGCTCTCACCATAAAATTATTCAAAATATTATGTTCAATTTTGGCTTTTCTTTTTAATGTAAGTATCTTTAAGTTTGGAACTGTCAATTTGCCTTGCTCGTTATTTAAGTGACAATCATACTAATAATAGTAAGACTGTGCTTGTCATTT